TAAACAGAATTAACACTTTCATAAATTTCATTTCAAGTTATTTAAATATAAGTAATACAAGTTAAGTTGTTCTAAGACTAGAGAAGGAAACAACCCATCCAGAGAAAGAAAACTCCTACTAGGCAAAGAAGAAAATAGTTTTGAAACAGATTTGAAAAATAACTGTATCTACATTAAAAAAGGAAAAAACAACTCTCAAAAGCAATCCTGTACTCATATTTGCTATGAATGCTTCTTGAATGGTCTTCTATGGATTTTTATTTAAGCAACAGATAAAATGAAACAAACCAAAAATCCCCCAAAACTCAAAGGATCAGAAAGTACTCAGGATCATTATGTAGGAAAATGATTGCTCACATATCATCCACCAGCTATATAATGTCATTTAACATAGCACCCGGGATCATGCCAATTTATTTTATGAAGCCTTTGTGCAGACAGATTTATAGGTACCTGACACTCCCACCTGTTTTCATATGATCTGTACATATATTGGTTTATCAGCTCTTATGTCTCATTAGGCATTATTTAGACAAGAAAGAAAATAACAAAATAATAAAAGTACCTTTCTCACCCTCTTCCATGAAAAACACAACCCACTGGACAACACAAGCCAACCACACATACACACACACACACACACTTATCAAATACAAAGTAATAAAAGAGTTATACCCAAACCTGGTCAGTCCTTCCATTTCTTGAAACCTGCACGCAAACTGAAGAAACCCACTCAGCCTTAAAAAGGTCGATCATTTTGCTGTCCTAAAATTTCATATCTGAGAGTGCTATCTTTCTCAGTTCCTGTCTTACTCTCTCTCTCTCTCTCTCTCTCTCTCTCTCTCTTGCTTCCTCTCTCTGCGTGTGTCTCTCTCTACTTCTCACGGAGAGCGTTTGCTTTCCCTTTTCCTGTATCTGCTGCTGGATGAATGCAAAATGCACGATTTGAAGTGATTTTTTTCCTTTGAGGTTAACAGTTGGAAATCTAAAATCTTGCTCTCCTGAATGGCTTTGTATGCCACTCAATACACACCACGTTTATAAAAAGAGGCATAATCAGAACCGAGAATTCTGCTTCTTAAATGCAAAAACAAAACAACACCCCTCCCCTGCAGTCTATTTTATTTACTGAACTATTAGCACTTACCCTGAGATGTGCCATAAATGCTTTATTCCAAATGTATAAAAGCCAACCACATCTCAACTGAGAATTAAACAGTTTTAGTGTCTTCAAATCCATGCTCCTGCTCCCAGCCTTAATACAGACAGTCACTGGCAGCAGTACAATAGTGCTAAACAGCAGACATCTGATTCTTGACATTTAAAAATAACAATATTGGGGGAAAAGGGAGTCTTTTTAAAAAAATTAACTGAAACAGCTTGTGAGTGAGCACATATCATTAATTGACTATGCTGACAGGTACAATGCTTGCAAGCTAAGAATTTATTTCTAAGCCAATGACAGGCACAGGTTAGATACCTATAAACTTCTTAATTTTTTGAACACAATCTTGACAATTCTATAATCAAATGAATTCTTGAATTCTAATAGATAATTCTACAAAGACAGGCCCAGGAATTTGCTAGTATTTTGATTTTATTATTGATGAATATTAATTTAATTTAATCTTTGTTCAGTCATAAGTAAGATGAGGGACATGATCACTTACTTCATTGCTAGGGTAAGTTCATATCTATGCCCTACTAATGCATGCACATAGTCCAGGTCAAAGGCACGTGTACATTTGCTACATTAAAATAAGATGTATTTATTCCTATATCTCAAGCATATTATAGAATTAGACAGATTTAGAGCCAACGGTTACCTTTTCTACTTACTCTCTATGCATCACCAGACAGAAAATTTTAATCATTTTGTGTCTTGGTTTTGTCTATAAAACCAAATAGTGCTCACTTCACAAAGTTGTTTTGAGCACTAATTGGGATTATAGCCAGTTCTTAGTACAGAATATGCTACTTCCTCCTCTGCTTTGTTGTGTGTGGGGAGATTATAGATTGGGCAGGGTTAATGGAAAGAATTCAGACTTCCAAGGCAGATGAACCAGTATGGAGCCACCATGTTGCTACTTCCTAGCTGTGTGTCCTTGGGCAGCTTACTTAACCTAATTTGCTAAATCGAAGGTTTTTCAACTGTGAAATACCTCCAGAGTTTTAAAGTGCAAATTAGATAGCACTTAAAAAGCAACTGCTTTTAGTAAGTAGTGAACACCTCTGAAATGAGAGTCTCAGGCCTTCCACCTCTGGAAAATTGTTCTAATTAGTATTCTGACATATGTAACTTAGTTGTTTAAAAATGTGGACAGAGAGAATAAGGAGGGGCTAGGAAGGTGGTTCAGTGGTAGAGTGCTTGGCTTGCATGCATGAGGCTCTGGGTTTGATTCCTCAGCACCACAAAAGTAGAAAAAGCCAGAAGTGGTGCTGAGCTGAGGGACATTGCCCAAGCCCAGAGTTTAGGTCCCACGACAGACAAAAGAAAAAAAATCAATAAAAATTGTGGACAGAGTTTATAGTTTTCTGACAGATAAAGGAGGTCCTAAAGATGGAAGGGAAACTCTGGACCATGTTATTAGTTATTGGTAGGTCCTTATTTCTACTCACATGCTTGTATAACAGTGCTTTGTCTTCTAATTAAATCTCACGGTGCTGATTGAAACACATTTGTAAAGACAGCTTTATATTAGTTAGTAATTAAGGGAATATTACTGAAAACAACAAAAACAAAAACCTCCCATATTTCTCTAGGTTTAATTCTAGGAATGAACTCATTCCTAAATTGTAAATGAAATTTACCTTATGGGAACCAACTGAAGCTAGCTAAGCTTATTTCCAGAGAACTTTCACTGGATGGCAGATTCTTTCCATTTCCTAGAAGCAAGAATAAAACTGGAATCTGGGTCTCAGGAGGGATTTCCTGATGAATATACAGTTCTTCTTTCTCTTTTAATTTTTTTTTGAATCTTTATCTGGGTGGTGTATACCTGTAATCTTAGCTACTCAGGAAGATGAGATCTGACAATTGCCATTCAAAGCCAGCCAGGGCAGGAACAATCTGTGAGACTCTTAATGCCAATTAACCACGAAAAGCCAGAAGTGGAGCTGTGGCTCAAGTAGTAGAGCTCTAGCCTTGAGCAAAAGAGTTTAGGGACAGCACCCAGCCCTGAGTTCAAGCCTAATTAACAACACAAAAAATTCTCTTTTGAAGTAGTTGCTCAAAGTGTCAACAAGTCAACATGTTCCTTTCTTCATATGAACTCTTCAACTTCAGCACATAGGACTGAAAGAACACATAGTTCTCCATTTTGTAATACTATTATTATTACTTTTATTTTTACTAATATGCCATCCCTTATTTTGAAATACAGAATTATTATTTTTTAGCTTGAAAGCCTTGCATAGAATCCAATAAATGTCAATATTTTTAAAATAAAGTATAACTTGGAGTTTATATTTAAAAGATTAAATTACCATGGCTAGGAGTTAACTATTGCTCAATGTAGGATAAAAATAATATTGTTGATCAATCCTTCAATAAGTTCAAGATTGAATGCAAAGATATTTTGGGTATCAGAGGCATGATAGCTATCATTTTGAGAGGGAAAGGAAGCAATATTGAACTGGGGAAAGCATGTGTATGTTCCATTGTACTTGGTGTTTTATTTCTGTAGTTGAGTGATAAATAAATTATTGTGTTTTTGTTTCTTTGCCCATGGGAAGGCTGTGTCCCTTGCTGCTCTATCTCAATAAACAGTCCTTGTCTATGGAAAATTGAGTCCAGCCTGTTTTTTTCCCTTCTCTTCCAATTTCCTAACCTTCCACAGGAACTGCTGACCACATAATTGTGTCTTTTTTTTTGAAAACTATCTACATTCTGGTGGCTTCTTCTGAACTTTGGACCTGGACTCTGGCACTGTCCTTGTCCTTGACTGTCAAAAGAACCAGATTTGTCACAGAGTTCAAAGAGGGTAACAAGAAGAACTCAGTGGAAAAAAATATCTCCTTGCATTTCTTCTTGACATGGGAATGAAAGTGATTATACATTTTTTAAAGTCTAGAAAAAGATGTTTTTCCAAAGTCAGTAGCAAAGAACACGAGAAAGAGAAAGAGAGAGAGAGAGAGAGAGACAAAGAGAGAGAGAAAAAGGTGCTCCAAAAAGAAACAATCCAAGGATCATTCTTGTATTTTAGGGAAAAACTGCAATACTGGAGGGAGGAGGTAAGGAAGAAAAAGAAACCCACTTCTCTGATATTTTTATCCAGGTGGAAGGATAAACCTAAGGGGACCATGGAAGGGGAAGAGCAGCCTGCCTGGAGCCTGTCCCTGTGTGGGATTTATATGCTGACACTAATTGTATTTTATTGCACTGATGCTTCCCCCTTATCCTCCTCTGCTGGGTTGTCCTGGGCCTCTGCAGCTGTGCCTGTCAGATCCCCCAAACTGCTCTCTCTCCACCTCCTCAGGGCATCATCCTGCTGTGCTGTGCACTGGGACTGGGTAGTTACTGTTGGCGATTGTCGTAGTGAAAATGTACATTTATCTCCCCCCCCCCTGCCATTAATAGCTTCAGCTGAATTTTACAACTAAAATAACCCTGAACAGACGCAGTTAAATGCTTTTCAAAATTGAGATCTTTGTTTACTTTTGGAAAAGAAAAGGTGGGTTTATTTTAAATTCGATGTACACTCCCCATCTTGTCTCCTCCCCATCCCTGATCTCTTAGACAAAAGAGGAACACAAGACTTGAATAACTCTTGCCTTTGTGTAGGAGTATTTTGGAAAGCACTATATCTAGTCTCTGGCTGAAGCTGGTAGCAATTGCTTCCTGACAGGAGCACTCAGCCACTGAAATGGTAAAGGATATATATGCTCAGATACATACAGACACCAAGGAATAAACCGAGGACTACAACCCAGGAGAGAGATGACTACACAACCAAGCCAGGAACAACGTCAAAGCACCCATTACACAACAAAAATGGTACCTGCAGGTACTGGCAAGAGCGTTCTTGCTGACAGGACTCAGACTTCACCATGGCTTGGTCCATATTCACTGAGGCTTTCTGATAAACCTCCCGGGCTCTGCTCACGGTGAGCGTGGAGGACCACGCGCTCTTCTTCAGGAGTGGGGCATCCAGGTTGACCGGCAGGTTGGCACACGTGGAGCACTTGACATCATTGTTACTCCGGGAGGCCTTCACCGCCTGCTCGCTGATGGTGTTGTAGGCCTCCATGAAGTATTGTGAGGCCGAGCGATCGGGGCACCTGCCCATGGTCATCACGCCCGAGGGTGTGTGGTAGATGCACATATCGCCGTCGAGGTTGTCATCAGAGCTCCACCAGCTTGGAGAGGTCGGGGAGGTGTTGGAGGCATTGGATCGCGCCTTGGGTTCTGAACGCCGCTCCTTGCTTTTGCTGCGCTTGCCGTATCTCACAGTCTGCGTCTCATCCGGGCTGGCCTTGCCCCCATTGACACTGCCCTTGGACGGCCCCTCCAGGGAGTGGGACTTGGTGAAAAGCTTCTGGACCGAATGGACCAGGTGGCGGATGCGGCCAGGGCTGTCGCTGCGGTGCTCCACGGCCGTACGCTTGTACTGCAGGGTGTGGTAGCCATCCCGGTTGAGGGGCAGCTGCCTCTCGAACTGGTCCAGCAGGTTGGCGGGGATGCGATTCGCCTTGGTGGCCAGAGTGCGGGGCACCAGGGCGCACTCGTCCTTCAGCTCCTGCTGGGACGTGTAGTGTCTACGTGGGAAGGTGCTGCTAGCCAGGGGGTCGCTGAAGGGACCCACACACTCGGCCTGGAAGGAGTTTCGCTGGGTGTAGTAAGGGTGGTCGGCAGGGTGGTGGTCCACCGGGCTCAGCAGGTAGGGCTTGCGATCCGAGCGATGGGACAGCGAGTCACAAGCAGACTCACAGGTGATCCCGTGGTGATGGCTACGGCTGCCCGATAAGCCTTTCATCGCTGCCCGGAAGCATCCACCGGGGGCATGGGCACCCCCTTATCAAGTTCCAGACCCGATCTGGGCAAAGACCTGAGGGAAGAAGAACAAGAGCAAGGAAACAGTAAGGACTTCGCTGTCCATTTTGTGTCGCTGTCTTTGAGGATCCTGTCTGCTATGCTGTTGGTTTTCTAGTGGAAGCGCTTATGGGCATCTTTACAACCAGTTTCAATGAATGCACTGTTGGAGATACTTTCTCACAAAGTTCATTCCCCAGCTGAAAGTTGGAGATTCTAGGGGGTAAAAGCTAGTAAACTGGGAGAGAAAAAACTATCCGATGCTCACTTGTCATTTTTTGTTTTCTTTTCTTTCTTTTCGTACTGGGTAGTCTAAGCTGGCCTCAAAGTAGATACTATTTCCATCACTCCAATAACTGAATGTACCTTTGCCTTGCTTTTCTGGCTTTATTTTCGAATGGTATGTTAATCATAGACAGAATACATTCAGTGCTTTGGGGAAGCCTTTGCTGCCGGCCCTGGCAGAGAGGATTAGCTTCCTTTTTATTTTCATGGCATCTAATTCACACCTTGCTCAGCATTATTTGCATCTGTCTCCCTAAAGTTCCTTGTGGCCTGGCTTACCTCTTGAACACTTCTGACTTCTCTCCCTATCTAGCACAAGCCAGTCTTTTAAACACATAGAAGTACTCCCTAATTTGAAATTTAAGGAACCTCCATGCTACTTTCCAAAGTGGTTGAACAAGTTTACACTCCCACCAACAATGCAATAGGGTTCAAAAAATACGAGTTAAAAAAGAAAAACCCTCAAAAAAGCCCAAAGAAGCTAATCACGCCTCAAAATTTTAAGAGAGATCTTTTTATATTCTGTCACAAGCATTCTGTTTGGAATTCTGCAGAAACAATACAACATACAAAAATATCTCCCTAGGTAATCAGAATTGAAATCAGAGTTAAAACAAGTAAGGTATGGCAAATAAATCTAAGATGTACTTTTTTTTTTTTTTTGTATTTTGAGGGTCAAGAATGTCCTCTAAGCAGATTAAATGAAAAAAAAGTTTAAAGTGGCTACTCTGGGTATCATGTCATCTCTTCTTCCTGGTTATTAAGATTTGGATCTCCAAAGGCCAAGTGTTGAAGGTTGTGGTGCTACAGAGAGATGGTAGATGGGGCCTATAGGGAAACAGTGAAGTCACTGGGACCCAGCCCTTCTTCTCCTTTTGCTCTATTCACTTCCTGTTTTTTCCTGAGATGAGATTTCTTCTACCACAAGCATGTGTCCATCATGGACCGAAAACAATAGGACCAAATTACAGCCAAAATTAATCCTTTCCTTGATCATCTTGCTTTTCTCAAGTATTTTGTTACAGCCAGAGAAAGCTAACACACTGGCTTAAGATTTCTGGTTAAATTGTTGTAAGCCATAGAAAATGGACAAAAGAAAGGCCTCTTTAAAGTTCTTGAGGGTGTGATGAAACTCCTGGCCTCATTTTTAGCTTAGCCTAGGGAGATAACTGCAGGGAGTGGGAACTCATGGTGAGTTTATTCTGAGCTTTTGAGTCTTCCTCACGCTTTGGTAATGAGGCTACAGTTTCAACAGCTCTGAGTATTTTCTTTTGATTCCAACACAGTGTGTTCGGTAGGAGCTGGACAAGGTCCTACTGAGAGCCTGATTTTTTTTTTTTTGAGGCTTCCTATAATACAATAATTGTAATATTGAATTGTTCTGAAAAGCCAATTTACAAACATCATTTAGGATATTGAAAGAAAGAGAGATAAATGGCTAAATGGATATACAATTGATATGTTTATTGCAGCATTATTTACTATAGCTAAGATATGGAACCAACCCAGAAGTCCCTCAGTAGATGAATGGATCAAGAAAATGTGGTATATATACACAATGGAATTCTATGCCTCCATCAGAAAGAATATCATTGCCCCATTTGTTAGGAAATGGAAAGGCTTGGAAAAAATTATATTAAGTGAAGTAAACCAGGCCCAAAGAAACATAGGTCCCATGGTTTCCTTTATTTGCAATATCTAGTGTATGTCTGAGTCAAGCAGAAAAGGTCAGATAAGGTGATGTTAAGGAAATGAACCCTAAGATATGTATTAAAATGTTTTTTTTCTTTCATGCAATTGTTTCTAACATATTTATAAGATTATTTCTTTATTGCTTTGTATGTCCCTCCCCCACAGTATAACCCCTGCTTTCACTGTTTTTGATGTCAGTATAAGTTGTGGAGGGGAAGGGGAAAAACAAATCGTTTAAATAGGGATACAGGTGGACCCAATGCAACAATGAGATGTACAAGTCGTTATGTCAAAAACAAACTTTACAACTTTGGTGTGGGGGCGGGGCGGGGAGGATTGGGTGGAAGGGCGGGAGGAGGATGAGAAGGAATGAGAAGGGGAAACAAAGGAGGAGGCTACAATGCTTGATAAGAAATGTACTCATTATCTTGCCCATGTAATTGTAACCCCTCTGTACAGTATTTTCACAATAAAAAAATAAATAAAATAGAATACCCATGTTTGGCCTCATGAATAGAGGGGGAGGGGCTTTTAAGAGGCCAGGATTTGCCTTTTTATTTTTTTGTCTTTTTCACGTTTGTTTTTTTTTACTGTGAAAATACCGTATACAGGGGTTACAATTAGATGATCAAGGTAATGAGTACATTTCTTTCTTTCTTTCTTTTTTTTGTTGGTAGTGGGGCCTGAACTCTGGGCCTGGGCGCTGTCCCTCAGCTCTTCAGCTCAAGACTAACCCTCTACCACTTGAGCCACAGCACCACTTCTGGCTTTTTCTGTTTATGTGGTGCTGAAGAATCGAAGCTAGGGCCTCACGCATGCAAGGTAAGCACTCTACCATTGAGCCACCTTCCCAGCCCTATTTCTTTTTTTTTCTTTTTTTGTTGATTTCTTTTTTATTTTCATCCTTATATCTTTTATTTTTCTGCCATGTGACTTCTTTTATTTTTTATTGTGAAAATACCATACAGAGCGGTTACGATTACATGGGCAAGATAATGAGTACATTTCTTATCAAGCATTGTTGCCTCCTCCTTTGTTTCCCCGTACTATCCCCTCCCATCTCCTATCCCCCCGCCACCCGCGCCAAAGTTGTAAAGTTCGTTTTTCGACATAATGTCTTGTACATCTCATTGTTGTAATGGGTCCGTCTGTATCCCTATTTAAACAATTTGTTTTTTCCCTTACCCTCCACAAATTATACCAACATCAAATACAGTGAAAACAGGGGTTATAACATGGGGGAGGGACATACAAATCAACAAAGAAATATCTTATAAATATGGACAAGGGTCTCATATCTAAAATATACCTGGAACTCAAAAAATTAAATCCTCCAACGACAAATCCTCAAAGAAACAACTGCCAATAAATAAAGACTAAAGACTTACAGAGAAACTTCTCTGAAGAGGAAAGAAGAACAGCCAATAGACACATGAAGAAATGCTCAACCTCCTTAGCCATAAAAGAAATGCAAATCAAAACAACATTGAGATACCACCTCACCCCAGTTAGAATGGCTACACTCAAGAATTCTAATAACAACAGATGCTGGAGGAGATGTGGACAGAAGGGAATCTTACTGCATTGTTGGTGGGAGTGTAAACTTGTTCAACCACTTTGGAAAGTAGTATGGAGGTTCCTCAAAAGACTCCACATAGAGCTCCCCTATGCCCCAGCAATCCCACTTTTGGGCATTTACCTGAAAAGTCACAAACAAAACCATACTAAAGCTACCAGCACAACTATGTTTATTACAGCATTATTTACCATAGCTAAGATATGGAACCAACCCAGATGCTCCTCAGTAGATGAATGGATCAAGAAAATGTGGTATATATACACAATGGAATTCTATGCCTCCATCAGAAAGAATGACATTGCCCCATTTGTTAGGAAATGAGCACATTTCTTATCAAGCATTGTTGCCTCATCCTTTGTTTCCCCTTCCTATCCCTTCCCATCTTTTCTATGCTATGTACTATATTTGTAGCTCATGATGGGGTTGATAATCTCTTCTCATGTCTTGTGGTACTTGTTTCTTCCTTGTTTCTCTCACGTTTTGGATGAATAGTTCAAGACAGCTGATGGAAGATTTTAACTGTGGTAGTTGTTTGCAATTTGTTAGATTACTAAATTATGAGGGAGGGACTCTTCTTGTCTCCTGATCAGTATCTAGTAAAGTGTCATCTCATCTGTTGGTGGAAACAACAAAATGTGTATCAGTGATGTAATGTAATTAGGGGCAATTTCCCACCCTGATCCATTCTGTGCTTAAAGCAGCATCTTCCCAGTGAATCTATAACTATGTGGCTATCATAACCAAGGGTCAGAACCAAGGAAGGATGCTTGAGACTTGTAGGATTTCACAGGCATACTAGAGGACAGTAGTTTTCAGAATAAGGGAGGAGGTACACAGGTGCATGCATTTGTTACCCACTGATTTCTGATTTTCCACAACCCTAGACAGCATCAAATTCTTTTTTTTAATTTTAATTTTTATTGTGAAAATACTGTACAGAGGGGTTACAATTACATGGGCAAGATAATGAGTACATTTCTTATCAAGCATTGTAGCCTCCTCCTTTGTTCCCCTTCCCATCCCTTCCCATCCTCCCTCCCCCCCCCCCCCCCCCGCCCCCCATCCAATCCTCCCCAGCATCGAATTCTTTAGATTTTTTACCCGCCTGGAAATTCAACTCTGAAGAAATGTTGTTTTTGTTTGTCCAATTACTAAAGGATGCCTAGACAGCAGATGATATAGATCCTCTATGGATGAGGAGAAAGAGTTGGTTATTAAAAGGGACAGAAAGGATCTTGGGATTCATGATACTTCTGAATCAGGAAAAGCTTATGAAAAGATTCCTCACTGAAGAGATGCTAGTAAAAAAGGAAAACTTGAGGCGGTTTTCTGTAAAGTTATGGTAATACTAAGACTTGGAGTTATGAGGGTTAAATATAGGTCTTCAGCAAAACTGTGGGACAAATGAAT